GACATCTCTGGGTCTCTGTACACCGTTTGGATCTTGAGCAAAACAGGAGACAAGACGGATAAATAGAAAAGCAGAGACCTCCTCCCAAATACTGAGACACAATGTTCCTCTCACGTCTTTCCAGGAAAGGGCAAGTGCTCCCGGGAGCCATGCACTTTCTAGGACAGAGATGCCTTAGCAAGAGCAAGCAGGAAGAAGAGCAGCAAGGAGAGTTTTCCCGGCTGCCTGCTCTGCTCTGTCAGTTCATGCCTTGGCCAGGGCAAGGCAGGGGCCCAGGGGAGCACATCGCTGTGCAGAAATAGCCTGCAGGAACTCCCCTGAGTTACAGAGATTATTTGCGGAGATGGCGGCAAAGAGGAGAGAATGGAAAAGAATTCAACCCACACCTAATTGCCTATAGAGCAGCCTGAACCCCACTCAGCTGAAGTAGCCCTGGTTTCTGCTTTCAGGTATGCTCAGCCCAGAGTTCTTGCAACAGGAGAGCTTTGGAAGAAGGCAGATTCCGAGCTATGGTGAGAAACTGGCAAGCAGACACTTGGGACCTGGCCTTTGCCCCAACCCCCTCACCCACATGACTATGCTAGGGACAGCTAACATAAGGAAGGCCCTGAATGCCACTAATGTTGGTGTTCTTGGGCAGGTTGTACCTGACCGAAAGTCAGGGTGAGAGACTGAAAAACCCCACATGCAGCCTCATGGTTGCATCCTCATGCCCTTGACCATGGGCAAGTCGATCAGTCTTTCCAACCAGCTTCTGTCTTCCTACATCAAAGGGGCCATGTCCATCTGCTCTGGCCAGCATAGGGGAAGGGTTGGTTTTAAGATCAACCTCACATTCTTTGAACGTAAGGTTGAGGTGCAGTTACTCATAGGGGCCCGTCCCAGAAGCTAGTTCATGCTGTTTATTGGATCAGTCATTTTGCTGGGTTGACTATAGCCACCTGTAAGTGAGAACTTCCTAATGGCAGCCTGTCACTTCCACCAAAATCCACAAGTGTAAATGCCTTCAGCCTTGGTACTTTGGGCCTCATGATGGCTGAGACAGAGACACTCATACTCCCCTTCTTTGTTGTGCTGTATAAATATGCACTTCTGATGCAGATGAATGAACCATCTCTCCATGTTGAGAAGTAACTATGTGGGAGTGGACTGAAGCTGCCCAATCCTTAATTTTGGATTCCAATTTTGATGCCATGCTAGCAGCTGCCTCCTTCAGGGAGAAAGTCCTGGAGAATGTCTGTCCCACCTTTGACAAGCCAGTCTTACATGCTGCTCAGCTAAGGGTCTGGCACAGTGGGTGCTCCTGTACTGACCCCCATTTTTCAAGGGCAGCCACTATTCGTTCCTGGGCTGGGCAGGAGCTGGAAGAGGCAGGGAAGGGAGTGGGAAACAGCAAATGCTTTGTCTAGGCGCTTCTCCTAAAGTATTGTCTTTCTACTTGGCGCTGGAATTCTCTGCCTTAATTTTCCTCTGCAGCTGGGCCTCTGCCGGCTGCCCCTTGGCGATTCCCTCCCAGGAAGAAAGGCCTTCTGGAGTGGAGGGTTGGCTGTTGGAGCTCTGAGAGGGGCTGGGAACCCCTCCTATTCCTTATTCTTTTTCCTTTGGGAATTCGCAGTGCTAAAAACAAGCTTTCTGAGAACCATATTTTTCTGGGTCAAAGGTGAAAAATGCAGTGTTTCCTCCAAGTGGAAAGCACTGGGCCTGCCAGCTCCAGCTCTGGGCACATTTCCGAGATCCTTCCTCCCACTCAGGGAGGAGGCAGCTCCCTGTGAGGGGGAGAGGAGAGGAAGTGGGTGGTGGAGAGAAGGAGAGGAGGAAACTCGGAAGGAAAGCGCCAGTCACTGTGCAACCAGGGCAGTCAGTGTATGGAAACCAGCGGGCCTGTTTGTGTTGGAGGGGCCTAGAGACTGGAACGGGCTTGGGTCAGGAAATGAAAGGCAAATAAGAGGGCGGGAGAGCAGGGCAGCCGTTCACAGTGGTGGCAGACAAGCCGGGGTCATCTGTACAGACCATTGCCTCATGAGCTTCTCGGACAGTGTGGGGACAAAGAAGACCCCAAGACCTTCCTGAGAGAAATCCTGAGGGGAGACCCAGAGAAAACCTACAGGGTTGTGAAAGTCGATTTTAACAGGAAAAGCAAGAACATTTTCACCCCACCCCTGTACCCCTTGCTTCGGACATGTGGGAAGTTCTGGGAAATTTTCTCAGGTCCTAGTTGTGGAACAGAAGCTTTTCAGGACCCCATGCCTCTCACTGGGTATCCTTCCTCCACAGGATGGGGACATCTTTCATCTCCAAGCTCCCCAGCTACTCCCTAAAATTTCCTCCTCAGCCACGAACCTGGCAAGTTCTCCAACATGCCTCTCACCACAGTGGCCACCCCAAAACCAGGCACAGAAACCAACTCCCTCTTGGTCCCTCCTCAGAACAACAATATGGCTGGCCGCCAAGTGTCAGACAACAGGTGGAAAGATGGATAAGGGGAAATGGACACGAGAAACGGGCACAGCAGACCAGGCTGAGGGAGAGGCAGATGTTGCTCCCATTTCAGTCACTGAAAATGTCACAGATCTTGCCCCCAGTTCCAAAGATGCCTGCAGAAGAGCTCTTGTCACTACATCCCCATGTACTCCTTCTCTGAACAATAAATGACTTGCTGTGGTGGAATGATTCCATCAATGGCCCTAATCTTTGCCCTTCCCTGTATGTACACCATTTGGCAGGTGACTTAGTAGTTCTCTCACTATGGAGAGGATCCATCCTTCACTGTGGAGGTGGAGTTCATGTTTTCATCTCCTGAATGCACAGACGAACAGGATGTGGCTGAAAGTGCCACGTTCCAAACTGAGGCTGCAAAAGGACCTTTACTCTAGTGCTCTTGCCCCCCACCATCATCATGAGAAGGGCATGCTCAGGCCGGCCGCCTGGTTCCAGGAGGAGGCTGAGAGACACATAGACCAACCCAGCCACTTCACCAACCCAGTGAGGTTATTCTAAATGAGCAACCCTACACGTGTGAGCAAGTCCAACTGGGACCATTAGAACTGCCTAGTCAAACTCAGCCAAGATTGGCAGAGCCGCCAAGCTGACCACTCAGGGCATGTGAGCACTAAACACTTATTGCTGTATGCCACTGAGGTTTTGTGGTTGTTTGTCATGCAGCATTACTGTGACAACAGACAACAGATAAACTTGGAGAGAAAACTGAGACACCCACAAGCCCACTTGGGATATACTGTCTCTTGTCCTGTCCTCCTCAGCTCCTCTTGGGTCCTTCTACTCTACTGCCCTCCTTCCTGAAGAATCCTTACTGCCCTGACCCCATCACAGTGTCACTTCTCTGACACTCCTCAGTGTCACTCCCTTAGCCCCATCTGCTTCCCACCAGGAGGTGGTTCTTCAGTTCAACACACACTCCCAGGCCCTCATCCCTGGGTCATGGCATTTTTCTCTGGATAACACCTTCAAGGAACAGCAACTCATCTGCAACAGCTTGTCTGGCATTAACTCAGCTGAATATTTTGCTAAAAATCACAATGGTTTTTTTGGCTGGAGGCAATCCATTCAAAACGGGCTGTAAAAGCAACTCCGTTACATCTTGAAACGCACTGGCTCCAGCAGTTTCAAAGGAAAGGGTGTTAGGTCATGGTGTCTGGGAGGCGGTAGGACCCACCTTCTACCATGTGACTTTTCTCCAGATTGCATTCAGAAGGTGATGTGTCTAGGCGAGGAGGATGATGGTGATGATTGTTGTTATTATTACTATGACTCCTCTAGTGGAAAGAATCCTGGTCACCAAAGGTTCCCAAAGATAGGAGGCAGGAGACTGAGGCACAAAGCGAACCTCTTTATTTATCTTCTTAACGTGCTTTAAACTGTGCTGTGTACAAACCTCAAAAGTCTTTGCTGAATGGATGCTGCAAGAATAAGAGTAGAGTCATGACTGGGACTAATTATAGGCGCTTGCGTGAGTTGGAGCATATTCTCCTCCTCGTTGGGGACAGTGTTCATCTCACCTTTCCTTTAGTAAGTCCTGTCATGGGGCTCTGCCAGTGAGCCAGCTGTCTCCAGGGTCACATGCATGAACAGCACATAGGCACAGCTGATGTTACACAAAGGAAGAAGCCCTGTTTTTCTGGTTCTTGCCCAGAGGCTCAGACCATGCTGAGGGCATGTCTCCCCACCCCGTGCACGATTTTAGAAATGCTGGTTGTGTTAGTGTCCATTAGTATGGACATGGCCTTTGCAAAATCAATAACACCTCCACAAATGAATGAATGAATGAATGAATTCTAGCCTTCTTCATCCCCTTTATTCAAGTTTGCTACAGATATTCCTTCTCTCTTAAAACAAAAATGACAGTGGCCTAAAAGGAACACATATTCCTTTTAATCTGCTCATTTTGGAAAGCTTCATATTCATCCCTTTGAGCGATCAACATTTATGGAAAGAGAATGGTCACGTCCTCAAGTAGCCTACCCAAGTTACCCATGCCACTCCCCTGATACCACAAGTGGCCCAAACAAGCCTCCTTCAGGAGGACATTTTTAGGAAAGTGTGCAAGAATTCAGGGTCCACCCAAACTTCCAAAAGTATACTGTGTGGACAGTCTGCAGCTATAAAAATATACACATACAAAAAGTACAGCTACAAAATCATGAGGCTCATTTTTCTTAAATTTGCATTATAAAAAGTAGGGATTTCACATTCAAGGTAAACTTGGGGGATGGGGGCTGCATCATGATTATGATTCTATGTTCAGTCTCCCTCCATCTTTATTTTCATGAATAGTCAAAGCACATTGAGCCAGCCAGTGAGGAGTAGGAAGGGGTTAATCCAAACAATCCATGGGCCAAAGTGGGAAATTTGAAGTTCAAAGTCACACAGTCATTCTGCTGTCAGTGTCATGAGTCAGGGAAGGAGAGAAATATTTTAATACTGCCCCACGGGTTTCCCTCTCTCTCTCTCTCTCTCTCTCTCTCTCTCTCTCTCTCTCTCTCTCTCTCTCTCTCTCTCCTCTGTGCTATGAATCACAACACAGTCACTGAGCTATAATAGACAGGCTCTGGAATTTGCATTGATGTGTGATCTCTGGCAGCTGCTACACATTCAGTGGACAAAGTCCTATGCTTCCTACACAAAGCATGCTGCTGGGTTTGGCCCACAGAGTGTCAGCAGGAAAGGCCACCCAGGGACTCCCGTCTTGGTTCTCAGTTTTTCATCAGGGTGTACTTTCTCCTTGATGAGAGGAAACACACCTGGTCCCTGGGCCTCTGGGTACAGCATCAGGCAGGGTCTCAGGAACCCTAGGATTCTCAGAATAGAAGGCTCTGTCCCTTGGGCGAGGCCAGCTGGTGTTACTTGGCTCCACACGTGTTGATGTTTTTCCCATCCACGGCATCTTCCACAAGGGAAATGTGGTAGTCGGTGGACAGGGTGAAATGTGAGATGCAGCCCACGAGACCTCTCATATATTGCCTGTTGGTGTGCAGAGCAATTTCCTTCATCCCACCTGCCAGGAACAAGAGGGAGGTGAGATGAGCCAAAGAGGAGGCATCAGCAGGGCAAGGTCAGGGTTCCTCTTGGGGCCCTTGAGTGTCTACTGACTGAGACGTCCCTTGTGACAGGATAAGTGGGGGTTGTCGGTCCCTTGAACTTCTTAGACCTCATATTTCTCTATTTTATAATTATTCTTGAAGGTATGGGTTGCTTTGGATCGATTTGGCTATAAATACATCCTTCATGTGTGATTGATTTCTGGCCCAACTGACCACCCTGAGACCAAGGGGTATCTAGTATACTTTGAAATGTTGTGTAATGTCAGAGGTGTAGTCATTTTAAACCAAAAGAAATACACTGATGTTGAATGCTTTCAATTAAGTCCACTGTTACAAAAATCATATAAATAAAAATGTCTTTTTGTTTTGATGTGTCTGTGCTAGTGGATTATAAGCCATTTACAGAAAGACAACTCATTCTATTTTGAGAGGGGCAGGAGAGAGAGTTCCTCCTTCCTCAGAGAGAATTCATGGAGCTATATTTAGCAGGTTCCTGTTCTATAAACAAGAAAAGCCTAGTTTTCCTGGTGGATCAGTCAAAGCACAAAAGCATCCAAGTGAGTCCCTTCCTGCCCCCTTCACCATGAGTCAGAAGGTCAGAGAAGGGAAGAATGGAATATCTGAAGAGCTTCCTAATGTCCAGATATTGGAGCAGTGAAGCGCACAGCCCCAACACGGCCAATGGGGGGTGAGTAAGAAAAGCACTGGCCTAACTGAGAATTGGTCAAAAGCCACTCACCCACATACAGAGCTCCATTGATGTTGAGCTGTCTCATCATGCCTGGTGACTTGCCTGTCCTGGCTCCATAGTCGTCCACAGTTATCTTTCCCGACTGGCCATCCCTGCAAAAACCAAAACAGTGTTTCTGGAGCTCACTCCATCATTCATTCATTTCCACAAAAATGAATTAAAGCACCTACTATATGCCACGTACTGTGCTACATGCCGGGGTTGCCAAAACCAAAACCAAAACAACAAATTCCTGACCCTCAGGCGTTTGTGGTCTACTGAGGAAGACACAAATATCAAACTGTGAATGACAACACAGGTCCATCATTCCACCGTGGAAGAACGCAAGGATGCTGTGGAATTACACAGAAGGAGCACCTAACTTAGAATGGGAGGGGGTGGCTTTGGAGAAGAAACGTTTTTTAGAGGAGCTTCTGTCTGAGAGGAGTCCTGAAGACTGGGCAAGTCGGGTGAAGGAGAAGCATGGTGCAAGCAGAGGAAGTGGCAATGGCAAAGAGAAAAACAAGGGATCAGGCCAGGCATGGTGGCTCACACCTGTAATCCCAGCATTTTAGAAGGCTAAGGTGGGAAGATTGCTTGAGTACAGGAGTTCAAGACCAGTCTCGGCAACAGAGTGAGACTTTGTCTCTACAAAAACATCAGAAAAATATCCAGGTGTGGTAGTGCATGCCTGTACTCCCAGCTACTCAAGGAGGCTGAGGTGGAAGGATTGCCTGAGCCCAGGAGATCGAGGCTGCTTTGAGCCATGGTTGTGCCAGCCTGTGCAAAAAAGTGAGACCCTCAACTAAAAAAGGGGGGGGAGATTAACATAGACAGAGCACAGAGAACAATGTGGGTAGGGAAGATGAAGCCAGAGGCAGGTCAAGGGCTTGTAAGGAGTTTGGGATTTATCCTAACAGCAAGAGGAGCCAGGGAAGAACTTTCAGGTGAAGCCATTGAAGCAGTTTTGTTGGCAGAGGGTTATTCTAGGAACAGAAGAACGGCTTAGAAGTTTCTCAAGGACGCACAAAGCCTGAAAGCAACTCTAAAGACAGGAGATGGGGAGGTGCTCATCTGTGACAAGAACTTCACAGTTTTCTAAGCTGTTTTCCAAATCTATCCAGCCTCATTAACCTTCCTCAAGCAAAAACGTCTGCTTCTACAGGACTAGGGAATGGATCAGCCCAGGCCTCACTTTGTGATAGCAACTCTTTTAGCACTGAGCTTTGAAGAACCTTCTCCCGTTCTGTTCTCACCCTAGAGACAACACACTCTCCACTTTGGAAATGCTTTCTTAAAATTTCATATCTGAATGCTGTGGTGGGCAATGCCCCCTGCAGCTGGCCTTGCTTACCCTGCCTTTAAAGAAAATTACTCTAGGTCAGGTGCAGTGGCTCATGCCTGTAATCCGAGCACTCTGGGAGGCTGAGGCGAGAGGACTGCCTGAGCCCAGGAGTTCAAGACCAGACCAAGCAACATAGGTAGACCTCGTATCTGCAAAAAAATAAATTAGCTGACCATAGGGGCACATGTCTGTAGTCCTAGCTACTCGGGAAAGGATCTGAGGTGAAAGGATCGCCTGAGCCCAAGAGGTCAACAAGGCTGTGGTGAGTCATGATCATTCCACTGCACTCCAGCCTGAGTGACAAAGTGAGACTCTGACTTATAAAAAACCCAAAAAACTCTAAAATATTCAGTTTCTTTCCTCTCACCCTATTTCATAAATTCCAAGAATGTTTCATATTTTTATATTTCTGAAATGAAGATATGCCTTATAATCAATATCACCTTAGATATGAGAAAACATAATAGAGAATGTATTTCTTTATCATGTTTATTACTTAATTGTCTGTTGCCTTCCATTAGAATGCAAGACCACCAGACAAGGATGTTAGTTTTATTCAACGATGGTATCTTGGGTGGTGTCTGGAAGAATAGAGGGCTCATAATAGTAGATGAACAAACAAGTGAATTGATAAAACTTCAGCTATGCCTATCTTCCAAGACTTTTGTGGAGATCAGATATTATGCATGCAAAGCACACAGCACAATTTCTGATACATATCTTGCTCTTTAAAGACTGATAGAGTATGTTGTTATTGTTATCAATATCATCATTATATCATCATTTTTATCTCTACAATGAAGATTATAAAACCTAAGTTGCTGTGAATATTAACTGAAAAAAAGTATGTAAAGTACACGGCACCTAGAGATGTTTAATAAATCAGGATTTATTTTCTATTTTCTGGATCACCCAGATGGAAACAGTGTACAAAGCAGAGCTCCCCTTGGGGATCTCCTCTTCATTGATTCTCCTATCTCTACAGAGGATTGAGGTATCCACCAATTCCTTTTTGCCATATCCATGGCCTTGACCCAGTTCCCGCCGAGATCTGTTGTACCATCCCGTCTAGGCTTGTCTGCACACAACCCACAATCTCTGTTGGAATCCTCTCACCTATCCAGATCCTAGGCTCAGTTCCTTCTGTTCAGCCCTCACTACAACCCACGACCCACTAGGAGGGATGTCAGTGATGCCAATAGGAAAAGACAAGTCTGCTGAGCCATCTGCATGGTGCCAAGTTTGACGCTCTGATATCTGAAGTTCTGCTAGAACATTCCACTGCGTTATCCCTCCCAAACATCTGATATCCTAGCTGTGGGTGGGCTGTATCATGCGGTGGAATGGCAAGGCCTTTGGTCTAGGATTCTAATCTTGGCTTTGCCCATAAACAGTTGGATAGTTTGGGGAAAGTCATTTAACCACGGTTCCCTTAGATGTCTAGAAAGTGCCTGGCATCCCCACCAGTGTGTATCTTGATATACATAATCAAACCACAACTGTGAAGATGTAAAAATCCTTCCACAATGTCTAAGTGTTCTACCAACCATCTCTTCTCAAGGAAACAGAGAGCATGGTGTTCCCTGATGTTCCCAGGTTGGGGACTGCAGGGATCAAGTGTGGTTGGAGGTAAGAATTCAGACATTTCATATTCCTTTGGGTATTTCTGTGCAAACCCTTTTAAAGATGAGTAAGAGAGAAATGAGGAAGTTAGAAGCCACATAGTTTAGAGTATTTTGGAGTTGGGTTGAACTCTGTGCATCTTGACTTAAATTCTAGAACATATTTAAAATCCAAGTCTAAAACTATTCACTATGAAAAAACATTTCTTTTTTGAAAACTTAGACTTTGGGTTTTGAAAAAATCACGTTCTATCTCAAGGGCTTTCTAGGCCACTTGGGCAGCTGATGGGGTACAGCTCTGCCTCTGTATCTTCTTACTTCCTCTAGGGTTTCAAAGGCAGGCACAGAAGCCAGAAAAAAGGGACTAGCAAGGCCATTCATAGTCTATATGTGATTTGAAGAGGAAACTGACAATAGTGAGCCCCATGTTTCCCAGGCCTCACTCATGACTTCACCTATTGAAACCCCCAGGAAGGGTTATGTAAATTCTCAGGGAACCCCAACCACAGCCTCTTTTCAGCTTATCTTCTCCTGGAACCTTCATCTAACACGTAGTGTTGACAGTCTAAGTTTGGAATTGCTATTTGGCTTCCGAAAATACATTGTTAGGAATATGGGCATAGGTAGTAAGATTTTAAAAAGAGCAAAGGAATGATTTGCCCAAAGTCAGTCAGAAGTCAGAGTGGTGATAGTCTCTGTGACTGAAGGATATATAATTGAGGTTGGGTGAACCACAGACAGCTTCTAAGGTTCAGGTAACATTAACTTTTAAAACAGCGAGATTTGACGCATTCTTCAAAGTCCACATACCCTGAAATCTCATCTCACAAGATAGCAAGATCCTCTCCAGTTGAGCCATCAAAAGGTTTGTTTCTCTGGAACGTTACTGTTCAGTGAAGATTTGGGAATTCAGTCTCTCTGGCCTATTAGTGTCAGTGAAGGGCACAGTGGTAGTTGGTAGCAAAATGCCTTGAATGCTTTGGATCAGGAGGACTAGGGTACCCAGCAAGGTTGAGGAAAAGGACAGCAGGGCTATAAGGAAATTGAACACCACATCCCATTGCTGCTTAGTTCCAGCTCTATCCGCTGTGGTAGAGACTCACCTAACAGCCTTAACTCGGTGCCACCGACCATCATTGAAGGAGCCATTCACCATGATGGATATAGCACCACTGCCCAGGTTATAGCTAGAGGTGACAGAGAAGAACAAAACAGAGAACAGAATAAAACACTGAAGCACTGGCAGACACCATTCACAGATAGCTCTTGTGGCAAAAGTTATTTGGCATTCAGAATGCAGTTTCCTGAACAGAAAATAAAACAATGTTATAAAAGGTGGTTGATTTCCAGGCCTGCTCATAAATGATGCCTAAATTTTTTAACTGTAGTAATATATACATAACCATTGCCATCTTAACCATTTTTAAGCACACAATTCAGTAGTGTTAAGTACACACATTCACATTGTTGTCAAGCAATTGTTAGAATTTGGCCAGGCTCTGTGACTCAGCCTGTAATCCCAGCACTTTGGGAGGCTGAGGTGAGTGGACTGCCTGAACCTGCTGGTTTAAGACCAGCCCGGGCAACTTGGCAAGCCCTCGTCTCTACAATAAATAAAAAAATTGGCCAGGCATGGTAGTGTGTGCCTGTAGTTCTGGCTACTTGGAAGGCTGAGGCAGAAGGATCGCCAGAGCCCAGCAGGTCAATGCTGGGGTGGCCGTGAGCCTGCCTCTGCACTCCAGCCTGGGCGATGGAGTGAGACTCCAACTCACAAAAAAAAGCGTTAGAACCTTTTTCGACCTGCAAAATGAAAACTTTGCATCCATTATACCATACCTCCCCATTCTTCCCTCCTTTGCCCCTGACAACCACGCTTCTACTTTCTGTCTCCGTGAATTTGACTACTCTAGATACGTCATATAGGTGGAATCACAATATTTGTCTTCTTGTAACTGACTTATTTCACTTAACATAATATCCTCAGGATTTTTTTTAAGCCTCATGTAAGGAAACATCAGTATTACAGTATTAGGAACAAAAAGAAGGGCTTTATCATTTGTAATGGGTCATACTGGGTTGACTAGTATCATGCTCATGTATACCTAGAACCTCAGAATGCAACTTCATTTGAAAAAAGATGGGTCTTTGCAGATGGAATCAGTTAAGACCAAGTTATACTGGATGTGGGGATCATAAATCCAATATGACTTGTAGCCTTATAAGAAAAGGAGATTTGGGCACAGAGACAGACACACAGAGGAGAACGCCATGTGAAGAGGGAGGCAGAGACTGGAGTGATATATCTACAGGCCAAGGAATACCAAGGATTGCCAGCAACCACCGGAACCTAGGACAGAGGCAAAGCACAGATTTTCCTTCGGGTGTTCCAGGAGGAACTGGCCCTGGTAACACATTGCATTTTGAATTTCTAGCATTCAGAACTGTGAGAGAGTACATTTCTCTTATTTTAAGCTACCCAATTTGTAGTAATTTGTTATTGAAGCCCTTGGAAACCAATACACGGATTTCACGTAAAAAAAAAAAACCCCAAAGTAGACTGAGCCCCAAAGAGACTAAGTGAATTTGCCTAAAGATCACAAAGCTAATGTGTAGAACTTAAATTTGGTGTACTGTCTGCTCTGTTTCCTCATTTTACTCTGAAATCAGGTCCATTTATCAGCTTCCTACTTTCTATTTCAGTTCCCAGATACTCTGATATCTTAGGGGTATCAGAAAGCATGGGCATGTTGTTTACCAGAAAGAAATATCCCTCTTAATTCAGTGTTCATTCAATTATTCTAATTTAATTTAATTCAACAAATATTTAGTGAGTGACTACTCGGGCTCGGCATTGGGCCAACTGCCTAGGCCTTCCCTAGATAATATAATAAAGCCTATATAACCATGATTTTGAAGGAAAATATGTTCCACCTGTTATTTTGTAAGAGGAAGTATCTCGCCCTTACCTCATTACCCAAGATATAGGAATGTTGAGAGAAAGCCCAGAATTAGTTATTGAGCACTCACAGGCACTTATTCTGAGAAAACAGCAAGAATAGAAAGCACTTGGCTTTCCCCAGAGGAAACACCATAAGTCACTCCTTTAATAATGGAGGTTCAATGAAGTCACACAGCCCATTGACATTTAACCAAGAATAGGCCTTGGGGTGACTTGACAAACCATGGGACAAAACTGCCACTCTGACCCTGAAAAATCCACTGTTTTCTAAAGAATTTTTTCACATCAAGTGTCTCCTTGTATAGAACAGCATGGAGCTGGGATTTTTAGATTTCATTATTTGGTGGCCAAATGCTTATTGAATGAATGTGAAGTAGAAATAGTTGCTGGTTGGCAGAAACCTCTCTGAATTACTATTTATGGCTATTCTGAGAGGCAGCGTGGGATGATAGAAAGAGCACGGACACTGGGATTCAACAGACCTGCCTTGATCTCCAGTCTTGCCACTAGCTCTGTGTCCTCCAGCCATTTGCTTCATCTCTGAGCTTAAATTTCCTCATCTATCAAATGGGGGTGATAATCTCCTCCCTGAAAGGCCGTAGGGTGTGTTAGGTAAGATAACATATGTAGGAAGTACTGCATGTGATAGGAGCCAAATAAACAATCTCATCACCCCTAAATATATGCTCCACTTGGTGAAGCTTGTATACAGGACTGAAAGCACACCCCAAGGGACTAGAAGGAAGGAGAAAGTTGCCACCAAGAGTTAAACACTTCAAGCCTCTCCTGGAAGAGTAGCCATGTGTGAGAGTAAGCCAACAGGTTGTGAATATGTAACCAAGGCAGTCAAAAACACCCAGATCTCAGAATCAAGGTGACCTCACTGTATAAGCACTGGGAGGCTAGACTAGAACATGATTGTAATCTAACAAATGAAAACGTTTTCAGTTGTGTTAGATCCTGTCTGGACAAAAGGTGGGCTTCCTCCTTCTATTCTCCAGTCCAGTTAACTCTCCTGTTCATGGGAAGAGCCAGAATGTGCTCTGGGGAGTCAATGCTGAATCTGGCAGATGGGAATGCAGCCATCACTGTGGGTGGGGGCAACTCAGTTGACTACTCCACGGCTCGACTCTCCAACTCTCTACTCTGTCTGATTTCAGACTCTCCAAAAATACTCCTACTTCCTCCAACATGCTGATATTTACCCTGGAGTAGATCTCTTTTTTATACAAAAATGGGTGACCAAGAATAGTGGCTACCCTCACTGAAAGAAGGATGAGGGAGCCTTTTTGGGTGGTGGAAATGTTCTATATCTTGTTCTAGGTAGTGGTGCCTTGGTGTTTATACATATTTTTAAATGTGTCAAACAGTAGACTGACCAGGTATGCACTGTACATAAGTTATGTCTCAACATAAACATGCAGAAACAAATGAAATGAATAAATGCATGATGTCTGGTTTCCCTACCACTATCTTGTGAATCTGGCTACCATGAATGGGTGATTCCGAGCCACTCAACTTGGTATGTCCTAGAGGCTGTGAGGTAGAGCACCAAGATGGCCCCCCAGAAATGCCATCAGGTAAGACCTTTTGGAAACCACTCAGCCACCTCTATGCCTTCAGGTGGTGATACTTTTAGTCATTTCCTCTTTAAACTATAGCACAGAACACTGCGAATGCCAGCTTCTTTCCTTTCTCTGTTGCATAAAAGTGTGATGAGATGAAAATTAGTGGGAAAGTTTGCCAGTCAAACCCACCTGGTAGGTTTTGTGCCCTCCATGTAATCACAAAACAAAATGAGATAAAACAAAAAACAAAACAGAAAACCATACTCATTTTCACTGAGTACTTTGATTTCCTCTTTTCTGCTCAATTTTGTACCAAAACTATAAGGGTTTTTTGGTGTTTTTTTTTTAAAAGAATTTCATCGTTCTTCCCTATTCTCTGGCAGAAAGACTTTGAACACTAAATTAGCAAAAGGACCAGCATTTAGGTGAAGCAAGAAAGTGAAGAAAGTTGAGAGTATATTTTATTATCTTAGGATTCATCTTCCGTTTGCCTTGGGCCTGGATCAAATACTGAAACCTCAAGAACGATTTGTCTGCTCTGAAGAACAATTCTCTCACTAGGCTCCACAGATGTGCACTCCACTCTTCAAGGTCATGGCCCATGACTTATTAAAAATAACAATAATAATAATAACTAAAATTGTAATACCTAAATTTTATCTTTCTGAGGTTAAGCTTTCTGAAACAGAAAAAACTTGATCAAAGATCACAATTTTTATTATCATTATCACTAATAATTAGCTATGCCAGACCCTGCAGTAAGCAGTAAGCATGAATTAATTCATTTAATCTTCACCATCAGTCATTTCCTTTTACAGATGAGAGGGGACAGAGGCTCAGAGAGTAACTTGCATGAGCTCACGTAGTCTTGGGGATCAGGTGGGTCTGACTCCAAGGCCACTTTAGACCCTGTTTCTCAGCAACAGCTTCTGGAACCACCTAGAGTGCTTGTTTCCAATCAGATCCTGGTGCCCACCCACACCTACTCCACTGGAACCTCAGAGGGTGAGCCCAGGAATCCACCTTTGAAACAAGGTCTCCAGTGACTTGCTATATGCTGACAATTTTCAAACCTTTGCCCTAGGCTATCATTCCTCTGTCTCCAGTGAACTGCAGCATTGCCAACCATCTGTGTGGGGTGAATCAGGTAGAATAAGTGCCCCGAGGGAGGAAAAACAGAGGAGTAGTGAGGGCGCAGCAGGAGCAGACAGATAAGTCTGCCTCAGCCTGGGTTCAGCAGTGTATCTTACACAGAACCCAACCAGAACTCCAGAATTAGAAGGAAAACACTGGGCCAATTTGCAGAAACTTGAGAAAGAAATAGTTACATAAGAAACATGTCCAGGATGGAGTACAGCTGTTTGAAGGGTGCCAGGGGTGGATGAGAACCAGTGGGAGTTGCTGGTGGCCCTGAGCAGACCCAAGTTCCCTGTTGGGATGGAGTGGCTGGTGAATAGGTTTCAGTTGGTAGTTTAGGGGGGAAGTTGGGCCATCCCACCCACAGTTGAACTACTGTTTCAGTTCCCTTTTCTGGGCACAATCAAGTACTTGAGGCCTTGGTGAGGTTAACCACAGGAAAACCACAAGAAAATGGCTTCAAGGCAGCTAGCCCAAAATGGGGTGTGAAGCGCTCTGTGTTTGACCTCTAGGCCAACCAGTGGTAAGGGGCTGTGGGGGACGAAAGGGTGAAGATGGTGAGAAGCTGCCTCTCACCTGCCTGCCACCAGTCTCTAACACACATGGCTCTCTAAAGTCCCCAGTGAGCAAAGGACTGGATCACTTAACATGCTCTGCTATTTAGGGGCAAGCATGATGTTGGACAAGTGACATTTCCTCTCAAAATGCCTTTTATTCCAATCTAAAGATTGTTGTTATCCTACTTAGGCTGTCACTAATCCTAGCACATAATGACAGAAGTTCCAGAATTAAGTTTTCATCTTCTTCATAGTTCAGAGTTTAGTTATCTCCCCTTTGTCTATTTCACTTCCAACTAATTTCATATCCTTTGGTGAACTCTTGGACTCATCCTGAGAGAAAGAATTAAAGAAGTAAAAGCCCAAGAAATGCCTGCCCTGTGGAGCAGATGGTCAATAGACTGAGCAGAGATTCTCAAAGCTTGGCAGGCATCACAATCGTCTGGGGAAATAGTTACCAAACAGAGTGCTGAACCTCACCCCTAGAGTACAGGATGGGAACAGGGCCCAAGAATTTGCATTTCTAACAAGTTCTTAGGTGATGCAGATGTTGCTGGTCTGGAGACCACACTTGGAAAACCACTGATCAAGGGGAGCAATTGCTAACCTCAAGTGAGAATGTGTCATTACTGTCTCTAGAGAACTGTTCATGTCACACAAGACAGTCTTTGCCCTTCAGAAACTCAGCTCTCACCCGTTCTGATAAAGTCCATTTGACAAATTTGAGAACAGTCTAAATTCTTTAAATTTGAGAACAGCCTTATTCTTTTAAAAGGTAAGAACTTCCAGGACTGCCTTATGGGTATCACTCAAGAGGTATTTACAAAAGTCCCAATGTTGGGTTGATTATTGACATATGGATCTATGCTGTGTTCGTCTTGCAGCAGGAGACAGGAAAGCAGGCATTCTCCTTCCCAAGGCCACACTGCCAACAGGGAGCAGAGTCAGAATTTAAAGCCAGGGCTCCTGGAGCTTAGATCTTTAGATCTTCCTGAACTGCGAAGTATTGAGCTGGGTATTTCTTAGCTTTCATGGTTGGCCACGAAACCAAGACTTGGTATCAAAGTCTTCTTTCTACTCCTTCCTAATTTGTGAGTAGGGAACACACAGAAGTAACACACTAGACAAGAGGTAACAAGGGCACAGAACTATCCTGTAAAGGGCTACGTGATAAATATTTTAGGTTTCACCATCTAGTTCCTATCGAAGCTACTCAAGCGTGCCACTGTAGAATGAACACAATCATAGGAAATATATTATTGTAGCATGAACACAATCATAGACATGATTCTAATACAGCTTTATTTTTAAAAATGGGTGGTGGACCAGATCTGGCCTGCAGGTAATCATTTGCTGACCACTGCTCTAGAAAATGAACAATGGAAAGACCAGGAGCCTCAAATAAGCCTGGAACTTTTGGCCACAGCCAATTCCACCTGACTGTGTTTTGGCTCACTTTGGACTCACTCTATCAGCATGATCTACACTGTCTGAGAAAATCCCAAGGTGCTGCTGGAGGCAGCTGGAGAAGGGGTTACCTGAACACCAGGACTCCATCCCGAAGGCCCAAGGAAATGAAGTCACTGTTGGGTCTCATGGGGCTGTCTCCCCTCCACAGCAACAGCCCATCCTTGGCAGTGGTCTTAAACCTCATGAACACATTTGATCTTGATCCTGACACCCTGGAGGAATACACAAATAAGCCCACCAAATCAACCACCAACATCTGATTCCGAGTAATCCCAGTTTTGTCTGTCAGCTCCAAGCAACCAGATGTAGTGTTAATCTAGTTTCTCTTCTCTTCTCTTCCTTCCCTCCCTCCTCTTCCCTTCCCTCTCTCCTCCCTTCTCTTCCCTTCCCTTCCCCCCACTTCCTTCCTTTTTTTTTTTGAGTCAGGGTCTCACTCTGTTGCCCAGGCTGGAGTGCATGTCATGGCTCATGGCAAGCCCAACCTCTTGGGCTCAGGTGATCCTTCTACCTCAGCATCCCAAGCAGCTGAAATTATAGGCACACATCACCACCGGCTGATTTTTTTATAGCTATGCTGCCCAGGTTGGTCTCAAACTCCTAGACTCAAGCAATTCTCCCACTTCAGTCACCCAAAGTGCTGGGATTATAGGCTTGAGCCACCGCACCCGACCAGTCTAGCTTTTCTGACACTTTCTTCACCACCATAGGTCGCACTACAGGTCTAAAGGTCTGGATTGCTCACTTGTTAGCAGTGTCTCCCTCCTCAGGCACTGTGAACCCCCATAGGAGAGCATTCTATGAGTGGCAGATGAGCAAAACTATGACCAATGCCCAAGCAGCACTCTCCCCCACATACCCCAAGCTTCACTCTTTCTTGTCCTACTACTCAAGGACTCCACTCCCTAACAGAGATTGTGTTTCCTATTTACCAAGAGGCTCAAATCAGCAGCTACTCTGTGTTGGGATCATGGCTGTAGATGGCCAGCTCTGGTGGTGACAATCCTTAGGGTCAGGGTTGAGAAAGGGATGATTGCAGAGGAACTGGAGTCTCAGACAAGGAAGGTGGTGTGACAGGTGAATGGTTTGAAGGGATGTTGGGGCAGAGCCAGGGTGGAGGGGAACAGGAAGCTGCGAGGAAAGGAGGGGCGCTCAGGCAAGAGGGGCTCTAGGCTCTACAGCCATGGTTGGGAATAGGTTCACATGCTGACAAGCTCTTATCAATGCTTGGTACTAGACCAGTTCAAAAATTCATTTTCACTAATGTGATCAGTGTTTCATTCCACAGAGAGAAAAGTGCAAGCCTGAGTTCCTTGAATGAAAGGTAAGATAGAAGTAAACATAATTGAATACTGCTACAAAATAACACTATTGGAAGCGTTTCTTTTTCCATCCTCTCATTTGTACCATTCCTCTGTCTGTCCCACACACCTGGGTCTGCATCTGTAGATTTATTGTATTCAAGAGTAAACACTAAAGGGGACTTCCATCTAGACTTCCCATAGCCTAACCTAGTCAGGAAGAAACCAAGTTTGCCTTCCCCATACAGGGCTTCAGAGTGGTGAGGGAGGAGAGAGGTCCTCCAGGCCAGGTGCAGAGCAACCAAGTACTGGGCCATTCCCTAGAAACCTGCTTTTCCCAAACTTTTGCCCCAGGTTCCTTCCCTTTCCCACTTGCCTTCGGCATAGATTGGAATAAGCCAATCAAGAGGTTCCCATTTCTCTTGCCAGTGATTGGTTTAGAGGTGGCAGTGGGGCCCATTTTTGTCCAATGAGATAGAGGAAACTTGCCAGGAGAATTCTGGGAAAGATTCCTCTTTATTTCTAAAAAGAGTCACATAGGAAAAAAAGTCTTTTCTTCCCCCCAACTGGATATAGTCATCTTGTGAGCATCTTATGAGCAGCTGGGAAGTGATCTCTGGAGAATATGCTAAAGATAACCAGGTAGAAATATGGATGAGAACAGAGTCTTTGATGGTACCCTTTCTTCTCTGAACTAATCAACCCAAGATCCAGTCAAAGTCTGAACTTCTTGTTATATGAAATAAACATCCCTCATGTTTAAGACATTTTAAGCTGAGTTGTCTGTTGTTTACTATCAAAGGCATCTAACTGAAACAGACCCTGAACTTGTGCTTCACACACATGCGTTATGTACCTATATATATTCATAAACATGCATGCACATACTATGGGAGTTGTCCTGGTTTTATGCCCCATGCCTCCTACTCCCACCAAACTCCTTTATAACCTTGAACTACCTTGTGGTCTCCCACTAAGCACTAAGGGCTGAAAATTCAGACCCCTTACACAGTGTCACTGTTTTCTGGGGACTGAATGAATTTACCTCTTTGGAGAAAAAGGCCTGAAGAAAGAAGAGGATTTATCTTGGCTGGGAATCCATTTTACCTAAGTCCCCAAGCCAAGACAACATAGATAAATACAACCTAGAATTACAGAAATGAAGCAATGTCTGCCTTGTGTGTGTTCAGAGTTACCAGAGACATCCATTGCCCCGGGAAAATTTCCCAACCACTTCTGTTCCCTGAAAGTCCACCAAACCCTACCCTAAGAGCTGGAAGCTAAGATGCAGTCAAGCTAAAAAGGAAGGAAAATTCTAGAATGATTGTGCTGGAGGCGGAAAGGGGGACACCACCCTATAAACTACAAATAACTAGGGGAGGGAAAATAAGAGAGAACAGGCAAACGAAAAGTGCCAAGACAAGCTTGACAGGGTTGAGGATTGTGCCATGTAAAAAGCTCTTCCAAACCAAGAGCTAGGATTCCAGCCAAGGGCTGGAGCCTCAGCCACCTGGGCTTGAAAGCCACGGCTGTGACTTGGGCGTCTTCCCATGCCATGCTCTTGTGTGTACCACAGCACAGTTTGAAGCTCACTGAATCACTCTCAGAGAACCCTGCTCGGAGAACCACCCTCATAACCCTGCTCATCAGATTCTCACTACTTCTCAAAGCCTGAAGATTGGAAACCCCGAGGCCAGTCACATTACTCTGCCCAGGCCCTTTGACAAAAAAGGGTTTGGGTCGTTTGTAACAGGGTTATTTGAAAGGCTGAGTTTTCAAGTTTGGTTTGTTTTTTAGTTTTGTTTTGCTCTAGTTGCCAAGTTTATCTCATGTGTGTGTCTTTTCCCCTGAGGCCATGGCTAAATGTTCTTCTTTGAGAGTTATCTTCTGGCATAAAATATAAGAAAAAGCCCTTGGAAGGATACTGAGAAATTTACACCCAGAAGAGAAGGAAGTTGCTTGTTCAAGCTTATTACCTCTTGAGGATCTCTGGATTGTCATACGTCAGGTAGCTGCGGCCAATAAACTGAGGGATCTCAATGGCTTCTGTGATTGCTGAGACAGAACAGAAAATGAAGGTTACGTGGTATGCAGCTCTTTTGACGTCTGCACTCACACACATGACAGGAAAACATCAAGAAAGCCAGCTCCTGTATATATGACATTTAACAACTTGTCATCCCCTTCCTTTCGGCTGCACATGAACTTGGCCAGGTTCAGAGTTGCCTGGCCCGGAGTTGGCTCCTCCTCATCTTCCCCTCCCTGAGAAGTCCTGTCCCTGTTCCTGGCCTCAGCACTGCTGAGAAGACCTTTCAATGTGCTGAAACTTGAACTGGTACCAATTATTCTTGGAAGCCAAAGAGCAGATCTTGGGCCATGTGGGGAGCAGCTGGGGATAACCCCAGATGTTCTCCAAGGTAGGCAGAGAAAACAAATCCCTAAACAAGGCCCAGTAGGATTCTTTATTTAAATCTAATCTGCCACAGAACCCCTTCAGCTGTAACCTCGAGCAATTGTAAAAAGTGATGGATGAGGCTTTGACTCTTGGATTTATGATCACCTTCCAAAGTATTCCATAACTCTTCACCACAAGCTTTTCCCATGAAGTAGCAGAGATTAAGAGGCAAGGGGTGAGCTAGTTATTTCTACTTTACAGAAGAGGAAAGTCAGGGAGAGAAGGCATCAAGGATTCGCCTAAGATCATATGGCTAATACCATGAGACTGACTGGCTCTCCTTAATTCTGGCTTTTGGGCCCCCTCTCTGCTTTCCAGTATTTTAGAAGTGTATTTCTTTCCTCCCAAATTCTCATCACATGGTTGTTTTCCTGAGGAATCACCCCTTTTACACACAGTTAGCAAAAGATTAGGTTAAGTAGTTGTCACAAATGAGGGGCGGAGTTCGGGGATTTCTGCTAGAGAAAGAACAACAATATTCCTTCCTTGTTGGAAAGACACAGAAACAATGCGTTAAAAAATTAAGGTGGAATGGGCTGAGCTTGGTGGCTCAGCCTGTAATCTCAGCATTTTGGGAGGCCAAGGCAAGTGGACTGCCTGAGCCCACGGGTTGAAGACCAGCCCGGGCAATTTGGCGAGACCTCATCTCTGCAATAAATCAAAAAGCTACTTGGAAGGCTGAGGTGAAGGATTGCCGGAGCCCAGCAGGTCGATGCTGGGGTGGCTGTGAGCATGCCACTGCACTGCAGTATGGGCGACAGAGTGAAACTCTGACTCAGAAAAAAAAAAAAAAATTAGAGTGGAATAAATCTCATATTCAAATAAATGTGCAAAATGAGAGAAAAACCAGCTTCTAAAACAAGTTAGTATTTCAAGAAAATATGTAGTTGGTGCAAAGAAGACACTAAACTAAGGATTCTGCACTCAGAAGACGAACTGTGTAATTATCTGATGCTATGAAAAATGAGAGAATTTAAACTTAACTTTGAAACATACAAAAAGATAGATAACAGCAAACCCAATGACACTGGGCCTCCAACTACAAGTTTCTATGTTGGTAGGTTCCCAAAACCCAAAACCTTTCGTTAAAAATAGAAAGAAAGAAAAAAAAGAAGAAGGAAGCAAGAAAGGGAAGAGGAGAGAAAACAAGAAAAGCAAAGGAAGAGAAATAAAACCTTTTTAAAGACAATTGCCGAGGTAATGATCCAAGAAATGGTTCTGAGGTTCTCTGAAGCAGCTCAGCTCTGGCCAAGGACCTGTGGCCTCTAGGACCTATTAGGCATGGAGGTGAAAGGCTCTTTTTGTCACTTACAATTCTGGGCCGCACTCCCAGCCACTCTCCCTTCCGGTCACTGTAAGCAGGAGGAAAAGGGGAGCGGGGAAAGGAAGTAGAGAGGAGAAAAGAGAGTGGGATGCAAAGTGGCAAGAAGACGGGAAAGGAGCTGAGTAGAAAGTCAGTGGGAAGAGTGAAGAAGAAGAGAGAGCCATGGCAAAAGGAAGAGGCAAGAAAGTGCTAAGGAAGACAAAGAGAGGAGGTGTGAAAAGACAGGGGCTGATGGGCAGCCACCAGGCAAGGAAGGACAGGAGATTGACAAGGAGAAACAGGGGTGTGAAGAAAGGAGGGGTGGGAATGAACTCAGAGAAAGCTACATGGAAATGAGAAGGGGAGGAGGGAGGACGGGAAGGGAGACCAGAGTGCACAAATGGAGGAGATGAAGGGAGCTCTTGCCTGGGACACAGCACTTATTTCAGGACATCAGCGCTGAGAAGGAAGAAGCAGGGAGAATATCTAAGCTGACTGGCTAAGGAGTCCTCCCTGGAGCTAAACAGAACCAAGGATCCCCTGGCGGGTTTGGCTCACCCCCAAGGGGAGAGGCACAGCCAGGACCCGTCCCTGCTGTTGTTGGCCATGGCCGTGGGCCTGTGGCCAACAGTCATCGTTCCCCTGGACTCCTTGAAAGGGTCGGGACGTGCTTGTCATACGTCAGCTTGGCACACAGAGCCTCCAAAGAGGTCTGCGGGAGCCCCTAACAGTTGTATGTTGCTCAGCTCCCAGCTCAGGAGCTCAGGCCTCCCCAAGGTCCAGCTAGGAGATAAGCATGTTCTCCAGGGTGGCTCTTGGAAGGATTCCCACAAGCCTGGTAGGCATGTCCGAGCTCCCACATCCCTCACCTCGGTTCCCCTCTGCATGTGGTTGGCCTGCCCTGGCAGGCCCTGGCATGAGCCCAGAGTGCTTTCACAGTCTCTCATAGGACTAACTGTACTTACTATTGAGGCAGTAGTTCCCACACTCTGCCCAGTGCCAGCATGAAAGAGAACAAGGAGAGTCAGACTTTCACAGTCATTGTCAGACCCCAGTTACTTTGGTTGCAGATTATGTGAAACCAGTCTTGTTTCTCTCACAATACCCCACCGAGGGCCCATAACGTTCTATTAGGGGATGTGACTATGAGCCCCACAGGAACCACTGAAAATCTCTCTCTGGTTGTGATTGGCACCAAGCCACCCACCTCCCCTCTCCATCGTGGCTTGATGGGAGTAGGGGTGGCGGTGGACCAAGAAGATGTTAATAAAATGTTGTCTGACACGTCTGAGGCAACCTTCAACTGACAATTCACATTTCTTCTAAACCTGGAGAAATAGCTTCTTGCTAAAGAGTTACTTACCTCGTCAATGATTATTACTTTCCTTAGCTCTGGAATGCATGTGAAAAAGGAAGGATGAGCCAACCAGTTGTCTCTTGTCTCTCCCTAGTGAAGGTATCACTCTAATTCCCAACCCATCCCCACTGCAAGATTCCAGGGTTCTGGTTGTTTTGTGATGAACAAAGGGCAAGGGAACCCTCTAGAAACAACATCAATGAATACAAAGTGATAAAAAAAATACACTCCATTTAAGTCAGTATATATGGACAAATGTTAATTCCATCCCAAGTCATCAGAGCTGAAGTGATTGGTCAGCCCTTTCTGGCTCTTTGTTTTTGTTTTTAAATTTTTTTTTTTTAGAGATGGAGTCTTGCTATGTTGTCCAGGCTGGTCTCAAACTTGATAGATACTCCCGCCTCAGCCTCTTAAAGTGCTGGGATTATAGGTGTGAGTCACCACGCCTGACCACTTTCTGGCTCTTTGTAATTTGTGTACCTATTGTAAACATGATCATATTTAATCCAATAGTTATACCAAATTTTTTCTACATTGTCTTTTCTCTGTGGCAATGGCCTTACTAATTTATTATTTGAAATGTGTTTTTTGCCATTCTTTCATATCTATACTTATATCTATACTAAAGCTTGTGCTATCTGGTGACACAAAAAAACACTCCCATGAAGAGCAACTTCCAAGTCAGAAGTTCTGCAACACAAACAAATAAAATTTTCCACTTGGGAGACTTGGATTTCCTAATAGACTATAACGAGTTGAAGGGACAACTGGCTCTTTCACATATTCACAGGACCTCAGCAAAGGAAAGGACTCTATGGGTATCAAAGTCTAGCTCTCCCAAAAGCCAGGATGCTTTGATGGATGGCCACCAGGTCAAGCAAAAACCCCAACAGGCAGCTCCTTAATCCACATAGCAAGGATGCTCCCCTATTGGAACTTTCTACTTGGTACAGAATTCTTTATGTTTTGTTTTGTTTTGTTTTGTTTTTTGAGCCAAGGTCTCGCTCGAGCTATCCACCAAATCAGTCTCCTGAGTAGCTGGGACTACAGGTGCATTCCACCACAACCAGCTATTTTTTTTTTTTTTTTTTTAATTTTTGGAGAGATGAGGTCTGGCGACATTGCCCAGGATGGCCTCAAACTACTGGGCTCCAATGATCCTCCTGCTTCCACCTCCCAAACTGTTGGGATTACAGGCGTGAGCTACCACTCCTGGCCAGAATTCTTTATTATATTAAGCTGTAAAGTAAAAAACAAACAAACAAAACCTTTTTCTATACCACCAGTCTTTCAATTATCTATAGATCGATATCTAGATTTTCCATTGTTTAATGATATACTGTCATAAGCATTGAACTTCCATGTAGTTTGCATAATTCGTGTGTTATATTAATTTGTGTTTTTATGTGCAGAATTTTCTTAAAGTAGGGCCTATCTTTAAGAAAGATTTTTATACACTGAGACCAAAAAAAAAAAAATCACCCAAATCAGACTCAGCTACATGATGCGAATCTACAACATAAAATGTCCTAAATGTTACATGTGTGGCATTGATAAGCAAACACCGGATCTTGCAAGACTGTGAACCCCTGAGGAATGTTGCCCTGAAGAAAGCCTCGCTTTGTCTCAATAGCTATTTGATCGGCTGTGCTGGGCAACCCACCTGCCACAGGGAAACACCCCCATCTAGTGGCTTGTGGGATCCTGCACAGTTCAAGCTAACTGTGCCTCACTAATGCAGGCAGGGAAGGGAAAGGAGGCCCAAAGCTCTGTTCTTTCCAAGTGACCTGTCCGCTATTGCCTGGGAGACCCCAGAAAAAAATCTGTGTCCTATACCCACCTCCTAAAATCCCAGAGCATAGCAAAAGCTCTAAGAAATCCTGCAGAGGAGAGAGTTGTCTAAATGATCACACAGGATTAGCCAAACTTAATTGATGAATTATGAACCCACTCTCACTTTATGTATGTGAATGTATGTGTGTGTGTGTGTGTGTGTGTGTGTGTATGTGTACAAAGCAGTCATTCATATTCATCAAAACTTAGTTTTTTACATGCACTTTGTGAAAATCTGCCAGAACTTATTAGTAACTTACTTAGATACACGAGTAATGAAGGACTGGAACACATGATGAGCCAATTTTGATGCAGGTACAGAAAAGAGGAAGGAAATCTCTAAGGATGGGAGGCTTATTGATAGCCCTCTGGCAAGATGAGGAGGAGGCCAAGGTATTGGTGAGTGCTCGGGGTGCTGAGGCTTGAGGTGGAAGATGCCTGAGAGTGAGCGGCCCCCACATAGGAGGTGAGGCAGCTTCCAGGGTCAAACCTTGTGATTTTTATTGGCATCTAAGGTGGTGGCTGGGAATCTGAAGAACCTCTGGCTCCTCCTGTCCAGAGATGACTTGATTTTCTGCAACTGCTGCTGCTGCAGAAGCCTGCGGCACCCAGAGACCATCTTAAAAAGTCAGTGGGAGCTGGATGGCCACCTCTGTCAGGACTTAGGTTCTCCTGCTCCTGCCTCCAACCTTGTGGGGACAAAGAAGTATATCCAAGCCACCATGGTCATTTGAGTGCCTGAAACTGCTCTGAGATTTGTCTGAGTTTCTGGCCCTCTGCTCTTATGTCTCCAAGAGGTGAGAAGTATCGAATCTTCTGAATATTACCCTCATGGAATCCATCTGTCACGCTCTCTGACAAGGCTAGAGAAAACCAGATTCACCAAGGATCCAGAAAAATAAATGTGTGGCATTTATTTTTCTGCCCCTTGATAGGGTGGATGAGGCCTGGTGATGGTTATTTCTATACCATTTTGCTCCAGGTGAAAGGACCACTTTAACTTCTGTAGGGAATGCCGGGAACAGGTACTTCCCAGTTGTTGGGAATCAAACCATTCTGAAGCACAGTTTGATTATTAGACAGAAAAAAAATGAAACCCAACTTTTATATAGACAAGGCTAAAAATCACCTTGCTCATTAAGACAGGACTCTGTCTGATAGACAGGGATGGCTTCTAAGCATTCTTGGTTTTTCAAGCTAACCGTGTACTCCAACTTCAACGTGTTCCTTGCATCTCTGTGGAACAATGTAATTGCCCAGCTCTCTTCCTTTTCTTTCCAATTCTTACACAGGAATAGATGCTTTCCCTAATACTACGGCAGTCTGGATGGTAACTGCCCAATCTATGTACCTACTAGAGCCTGGAAAAAATGTCCCAGAGTCCCACTCATCCTCTCGTCATTATGGTGAGAAAGGAAGTTAGGGGATCCAGGCCATGCCTCCAATAGATGAATCTCCTAGGATTTGCAAAGGGTGCCATTTTCCTGGAAGCAGTGTCTTGATTTTAAAACACAAGGAAACACTAATACAACACAGAGGGCAGCTGCTTGTAATCCTGTGTTGTAATCATCTGTGTTGTAATCCTGGTTCTAACCTACTTTTTGGGAAAAGAGGCTCAAATGTCCTCAGTTCCCTCTCCTATCATTCATTCCCTCAGATAGTACCAGGCTCAGGCCCTCACGGGATCTGCCCCATCATTCTGGAGAGATTTGCTTGTCATTGAGTCTGAACCTATAAAGCTGTAAACATAAGCACTTTATATCATTTATGACTAATGTTCTTCAACAGAGAACCGGGGCTAACAAGATCACAAATTATCCTTTCCTTTTTCTTTTAATTCCTGAAGCTAAATGTTCATTTAAGTCTGGACTTTATATATTGACCATTAGCATTAGAAAGCAGGGGCAAACTTGAAGTATCTGTGGTGAAATTGGATACTTTGGAAATTCAGACACCTGATGTGTGAAATCCAAACCCAATTTTCTGAATGAATGGGCCATTCTTGAACTAAATCTCTGCAAGTACAACCTATCAGCTAAACAGCAAATTGCTTGTTAGAATTATAATCAGGATAACTCACAATGGGATCAATTACTCTTCCTTGTTAAAAGCACACATTTCATGATTTAACATGTAAGTTTCAAAATTCATTTAAATATTAGAAATATGATGAAATCTTCTAATTGGCATATTTCATAAAAGACCATTGCAAAACAACTTCTACCATTCCATATACCAAAATATCTACCTGTGATTTATAGTTTTCCATTAAGCCCTAACCCTGATAAACATCAGAAAACCAGAAACAAGGAAAAACAAAAAAAGCGCATTTCTTCACACACACGCTGCCCTATTCCCTTCAGGCCTGTTTGCTGGTTTTTGTTTGTTTATTTGCTTGTATTTGTCTCAGGGCAGGTGAACCCATACAGATATTCTAAACAAGAAGATCCCTGTGGTCCTACATGATGGACGTTCATGGGTGCCTGTTCTAGATGCCAGGGCCATGACCTCTGCTTCCCTTATGCAAGTGCAGAAGGAGAGGCCAGCAGGGACTGGCGGTCTATGACCAGCCTGAGCTTTCAGACAAGGGCAAGATGGTAACTGAATTGCTCCTAGAGCTTGCTAATGAATTTCTTTTTTTCTCAACCAAAATAATAATAACTAGTACTGATTGGTTGGTTGAAAGCTTACCAGGCACTCTTCTAAATGCTTTATGCATTGCCTCATTCATCTATACCATGACCTTCTATGTTAGATACACAATGATATTGCTATCATTATTCCTATTTACAGCTGAGAAAACTGAGCTCCAAAGTGATTTGACGGCATGAAAAACAGCACTCTACGGAGGGTTATGCATACTTCAGTTTGGAGCAACGAATGAATTATTTGTATTTTTCTGTATTCGGACAAGGCTTCTCTTTGCAGCACTCATAGACAGAGGTCAAAATATTTAGTCAAAATACTTATCAGTCTACCCAGTACAGGCATCTACCTATTAGGATAGGTTCTGAAAGTTGCTTAGCTGCAAAAGTCTTGGAACTCCTTGCTATATTATGGGTGAACGTTTTGGTTGCTAGACCATGAGGGGCTTCTCGAGGAAGGGGTTAGGGGAGGGGAGTAGGAAAGCTGTTTGCCCCCTCTTCCAGAAGTATTTCAGAATTTAGTTATTAGGTAATTTATACATAATTAATCATCCAATACATGATTGAAATCATTGATCAAAATGACAGTATGGCTGTATCAGTGTTACCAATTCTTCCTTTAAGAGTGGTGGTCCCCCAACTTGCTGTCCGTTCCCACCATTCCCTCCAGGAAGCAGTGCCATAGACCCCTGAGTGTACCTTTCTGACAGTGATGCCCCTCAAATCCCAAAGGGCAGTCACACTCATATCCCTCCTTCCTGGGCCGGCAGCTGCCCCCATGGGCACAAGGAGCCCCCACGCAGGGGTGGGCCGCATTCTCCACATTCACGCCAGACGTGAAGTCATGTTTCACGTGGATAGTTCGGTCATTCAGGATGATCTTGGGAGAGAAAAATGTAAAGAAATGCAGGCATTGAGAAAACATCTTTGTAGTCCTCTAAAACTTTCCTTAGCACACTCACCTAGCTATATATAATGAGGGAGATTAAAGAAAAAGTTTAAGCCCAGTTCCTACTTTTATAGTCTTGTAAATGATACAACAGCTGAAATTATTATATTTGGGAATACCTGCCGATTCAAGCATTCCTCTGCTTCTGAAAGTCTGGCTACTCAGGAAGGACATAAAGAAGTCTCAAAAACTACGAAGTTCAAGTTTTCAACTTGGCTGCATATAGAATTGCCTGGGGAGCTTTTAAGAAATGTTAATACCCAGACCCACCAAGACCAATTGAACCAGAATCTCTGAAGGTGAGACTCAGTGATCAGTAACTTTTAGAAGCTTCTAAGAATCACCTGGGAAGGTACTGCCAGGTTGAGAGACGCTGCTAGAAGGCAGAGTAGGCAGAGAACAGAACCAAGTGTTATGGAGGCAGGAATCAAAGGGGGAGAGATTGTTTTTAGTGGCTGTGAAATCCAGAGAAGCTTCCTGGGGTACTTCCAATGAATGGTCTCTGGAATCTCCTAAAATTCCATCAGCTGGGCTTCCCGGACTGATTGTTCAGCTCACTCCTGCTGGCCTTCTTCCTGAATTCCGACCCTCTCCACATTCCTTTTCCCACTACTAAAAGTAAAAAGTAAAACTCAGCTCACATTCTTTTTTTTTTTTTTTTAGTTGGAGTCTTACTCTGTCACCCAGACTGGAGTGCAGTGGCCACTCCCGGCCACCGCAGCCTCAACCTGCTGGGCTCCAGCGATCCTTCCACCTCATCCTTCCAAGTAGCTGGAACTACTTTTTTGGGCTGGGATCTCACTCTGTCACCTTGGCTGGAGTGTAGTGGCTCAATCATAGCCTACTACTCAAACTTTTGGGCTCAAGCAATTCTCCTTCCTGAGTCTCCCGAGTAGCTGGGACTACAGGTGCATGCCACCACACCCAGCTAATTTTTCTTTAACTTTTTTTTGTAAAGAAGAGGTCTCACTTATGTTGCCCAGGTTGGTCTCAAATTCTGGGGTTCAAGCAATCCTCCTGCCTCCGCCTCCCAAAGTACTGGGATTACAGGCATGAGGCACCACACCTAGTATCAAGTCACATTCTTAAAATCGCTGTGCATATCTCTACTGGGGCTGAAGAAGCTCTTTTTCTTCCTCTTCCTTGCTATACAGCTCCAGTGAAACGTTACTGGGTTCCCTAGCTCCAAAAATGGAGCCCTTGACTTGAAAAGTGTATTTACTTAAAGTTATCGCTGGCTTTGCAGAACTCAGGGACAGAGAGAACACCTCCCAGGGGAACCCCCACTGCCTAGGGGGTTATAAGAGGTTAGCAATGGCACTTCCTGCCATTAATCCAAGTTTCCAAAGACTTGCCTAGCCCTTGGAGAGTGCTGGGAGAGTTGGGAGAAAACTTTTCCCCAGTCCTGAATCTGAGAAGCTGCCAGAGAGTAGCCAGGATCCTTCTACAATCTCTCCTTTCATGCTGCAAGTGAAGGTCTGTGAAACTGAGTCATAAGTGCTGAGAGAAGCCAAGAACGGCACCGTTCACTGCAGGACACAGGCAGTCATGGCAGGAGAGTGCGGCCTTTCTAGGAGGAGAGAGGGAAGTGTTGTGTGTGGTGTGAAGGGGAGGGCAAAGCCTGGAAGGGTGAGTAGAGGAGGGAAAGTATCCTAGCATCTCAACTTGCTTCTTAAGGCAGAATTTCAAACACACAATTAAGTACAATGAAGCATGGCTAGTCCCACTCCTAGGGGGACAATGGTCAGAACTGAGGTGTCCCTGACACTGCAGTTTAGCAACAAAGGGACACACATGAGCGTCAGCAAATGTTGACCGGGCCTGACGCTGCAATAGGAGGTGAGAAGGTCACAGCCCCAGGAGCCCTTCCCGGCACCTGGGTGTGCAGATCCTGACAGGACTTCTTTTGCCATCCTTCCTTCCTCTTAGCCTCTCTTATACTTTGTCTCAGGTCTCAAAAGGATCAATGGCTCACACACCACCACTGGTTGCTAAAGGAAAGAGGATGGTGCTAACATCCAGGAGCTGAACATGCTTTTCTTCAGACCCCTTTTGGCCCAGTGTTTGGTGGCCCTGAACGTCTGGGATTGGGAGTCAAGCTTCAGGACTGTTGCAGACAGAGCATGTTTCCATAATCACAGGGACCATGGGCAGCCTCATGAGAAGGAGTAAGAGACAGATAGTAGTGGAGTCAGTATCTTTTCTGAGTGTATTTTTTTTTTCTTTCTGAACACTCTAGGGAAGGACTCTTTCATCAGTGTTCTTAAGAGCTTGATTGCTTGACTAAAAAACAACCACTGAAATGAGAGGGTGGGGATGCAAGTCAGCTCCTATCTGAGCAAACTGCAGAGGAACAGTATTGAGAAGCACAGAGTCAAGAGTTGCTGTTGGCCTCTAGTCATCTCCTTCCTTCCCTGCTGTGGAAGTTTCTGCAATGACCTGATGCTTTGGGCCTCCCTCAGCAGTCCCGATATATTTTGGTGGATTTGCTATAAAAATTCATCATCACTGAGTCGTGTTCATGGAATGTCTGCTGGGCAGAGACCCAGGAGCAGATGTTATAAGAAAGCGAGGTTGGAAAGCTATGCTGTGGGCACTTTTAAAAAATCTTAAAAATGTTAAAATTTTTATCAAGGTATCTTTCTTGGGTGCAGCAGATTACACTAATCAGTTTTATTGTCTGCAGTCAGGGTGGCCCAGAGAACATGAGGAAGGGAAGCCTGTACCTTCTGGATGCTTCCACTGAACGGTTTGAGGATGCCCGAGTTCTTCTTCACATCATCATAATTAGGGACTCCGCCAATAAAAATGTCTGTGTTGCACTTAATCTGTGTGAAACCTCCCTGCCAACAGATGAAAAACAAAGTATGGTATAATTTAACATGAATGGTTAAAACTATCCAGTTTACCTGGGGTTCCCTGTCAGGAAATCAAATGGTAGAGATAGCCTCAGGACCCATCACAACAATCTGTCTACACTTGTGCTTGACCTTCATAGCGTCTGCATTGCTACTTACCACCTGTTTAAATGTTGGTGAATTTCTTAATGTGTCTGGGATTCAATTTTACCATCTATAGAACGAGACTAGTCGTATCTACCTCATAGCTATGTCATGATGAATGCTGCAGACTGCACTACTCTTCACTGGTATCCCTCCCTGCAGGAAGATTACCACCAATCTGCCAAGCTCAGATGAGGTCATGTGACTTGTTTCAGCCAGCACAATGTGAGCAGAAGAGAAATGAATCACTTCTAGGCAGAAGCTTTCAGACCCAGGGAATGCTTTCTTTTCTTTCAGTCTGGGTCTCAGATTAAAGCTGTAGCTCACCATTGTTGGATGTGTATCATGAATGAGAAATAAACCCTTAAATTTAAGGTCTCTGGGGATGAACACATCCTTTGATTTATGGTAAAAGAAATACAAATGGCAACTGCATTCAATCATTTATTTAACAAATTTTATTAAGCACCTACTATGTTTCAGGAACAATGTTAAGTGCTGGACAAATAACAGAAAATAAGAAAGATCCAGTCCTTGCCCTGCAGGGGCTTAAACTCGTCAGGATTACAGACAAGTAAAAGAGCAGATGGGATCAGCACTGGGGAGGATTGTCCAGGTGGCTATGGGTGATCCTGGGGGCAGGCAGCAGGTCTCATTCCCTACACTAGACACAGGGACTGGGGGAGATGGTCAAGGAAAAGTTAGAATTGTAGAAACTAAAGGAAGTTATGGCTTAAAGGGAATATAAATCTAAGGCAGATGCAAGGAGAGGCCATAGCACGCAGGGCGTCATACACCATGTGAGGAGTGTGAACTTCCCCCAAAAATCAATGAGATTTATGCTGAAGAGACAGACATCTGTTTTAGGAAGATCATTGGCCAAGGGGAAGGGGGTAATGAGATCGTTGGCCAATGGGGTCGGGTCAAGGGTAGAGAAGAGAACAGAGGAGGATTCTTTGTGTATCTTAGGGAGCACTCAGCGGCTGAGTCCAGACAGGTAGCCCAAAGAAATCTAGATTATTTTTATAGACTGAATTGCCTTCTGTTAATGACCTTGAGACTGCTTTGGGGGTTCTTACTGAACCAGGAAGTTATCAAAGAAGCCTAAGTAAGGGCTTCCAGGAATTTTTGTGGCCCAGCAGAACACTGAAACAGGCAGAAACTGTCACCACAAATCCACAGGCGTCTCTCTTTTGTCTTTCCTCTTGCCCAAAAGTTCAAATAAGATAGTAAGAGGATGGGAGGCTGAGGTGAGTGGATTGCCTGAGCCCATGGGTTCGAGACCTGCCTGGGCAGCGAGACCTCATCTCTACAATAAA